TCGAACGGAGTCACGGGCAAAACCTACAACATGAGACGAAGGTACCTACGTAAATTTGAATGCTGAAATGACTTAGGTAACGTATGCCAAAAAAAACTAAATATTCGTTGAATTTTTCTTGAAAGTTTCAGTTATGCAATGTTAGGAATATTTAAAAAAAATGGGGCATTAGAACTAACATTTTTCAACCAACGAAACATGCAACATTGCACCAAATATTATGTAAACTGACTTATTTTTATGCTAAAACAGCTTGCAACTAGTGTAAGCTGATTGGTAGCCATTTTAGGAACATCTTTACATTGTCAATTTTACATACATGAATAATTATAATGCTTTAAATATTACGAACTTAAAAGGTTAGGCAAGAAACAAAAGCGTTACATTTCTCGGATTCACTATAAACTAAAAAACCTTCTGAAATTCTTGAAAAGAGCCAAAAACAATAATACTGCTCCTTCGATCATTGTTTTATGGAAAAAACATGTGAACACTTTTTTACTGCTGAAACTCCTGTAAGCCAAGAGCTAGAGAAGATATAACCATGACAACACCAAAACACTGAAGTATGGTCCATCCTACGAACACAAATATCTGTCTTGGATCCCGCAATTTACTTCGAAATTTAAAGATATTATTAGAAAAAAAAAGAACAACAGGAGCCTCTTGGGAGAAAACATGCTATTCCTTACTAAATAAAAAACCAGACTTGAAGCTGATGAACTTCTCAACTACAAAGAAGGTACCTATTTTATCAAATTCGCAATCCAACTAAAAACTCCTTGCTCAATAGGTACTTGTTTCACGACTTTTGCAGAGCAGAACCAACTTATAACATTTTCTACGACAAACGATCAGACGAATTACCTGACGGTAAGCAAACAACGCCGCCTATAGACACACACAACAACAGAGGGGCTACGAGTACGTTGCCGACCTTTTGGGATTAGAGATTTGGAAATATTTAGGGAAATATTGTGTGATTTAGATGTGGAAGTATTGGGCCAGCGGTAACCCCAGTCACGGCGTAACACAACGCTGCGGTTGCTTCACGCCGGTTTTCTGTGAGGCCGTGGTTTTACTCCGGTCGAACCGACCCAGTTGTGCCGAAGCACAGCTCTCCCACACTTACGTCACATTACAAAAGTCTGATGTTCTAAAAAAGTTTGATTCGATCAAGGCAATAGCTCGACTGCCTCTTCACTTCCCATTCCGCCTCGCACTTGACGTTACAGCAAAGAGGTGTGAACTTGGAGAAAGTCATATTCTTATTTCTGTCGTCTTCCAAACTTAACTTTGTAACCGACTATTTTATTTCCTACCTTATGTTTATTGTTTTTAAGTTCACTTTCTATTTTAGCGAGTGCAATATTAAGTTTGTTACGCAAATGTGTGAACATTAACATATGTATGTGTTTGGATTAGTTGTGTTAGCTGTTCACAGATGGATGGGTTTTTATTATGCGTGGAATTGTCGCATGTTATGTCATGGTTAAAGTTTATGGTAATGAACAAATCGCACGTATCCATCTTTTTGATGTGGATTTTACGTTCGCGTGAAGTGAGGCTGATCTCTCGTATTTCACGCATTGATAAATGTATATGATTGATTGATTTTCATTGGGCGCGTCCACCATTTTTAAGTTGTGTGGATAATTACTCTCTAATTATTATAAAGAGAAGGAAAGGACATATCAAAAAAGGTACAAAGATCAACTCCATCAAATCGTGTACCTATAGTTGAGTACTATTAATTACTGCAACATCACTCCTAACTCTCCCAGAAAACAGACCAATAGTAGTTCTTATAAAGATTTCATCGCCACCATCGTAATAATAAAATAGAAAACAAAAAACAATCACAATATATCTTGGACACATCAGATTGTCAACATAAAACTTCAACCTAGCAAAGAGCTTACATCAACACACGATAAACATCAAACAAATAAACTCACAGAAGACAGGAAGAACTCCGAACATCAAATAATAAGTTAAAATCATCTAATAAGGAAAGAAAAGGCATCAGATAACTTAACTTACCGATCTATCCGGTTAAAATATAAAAGAAACAGGTTTTTCAATACTTTCAACAAACATTTATAAATAGTTATATAAATGAGAAACCGCATACGGAATGGATGCCTCAAGAAATGGAATCAATGGTAGCGTCCGAATTTTGCATACGTCAAATGAAGACGAAACATATTGTGTAACATTTGATGTGCATGGTATTGTGTGTGTAAAAAAAATGTTGCTATGAAAAGAATGATATCGTTATCACGACATTGTATAAAACAAAGTCGCTTTCTCTGTCCCTATATTCTTAAATCTTAAATAATTTTTAAGATTTAAGAATATGCAGTGGATCTTGAAAATCCTTTAAATATTGAAGTAATTTAACATCAGCAAGGGTAAAAATCAAAGTCAAAGTTATGTTTACTTCAATTAGACCCTTACAGGCACTTTTGAACGTCAAACAAAGCTTAAAGATAAAAGTGTTGTATCGGTCAGTCCTCTTAATGATGGTATTTACTCGTTCTAAAGAGTAGAATCCACTGGAGAAGTACAAGCAAGGAACAATTTTACACACTAGTATATACATACATATTATTGTATAAATAATAGAACCTGTTGTATAGTAAACCCAGGACTCGAAGCCGATGTTGTGAAACAAGAAATAGTAGCAATAAGGTATATAAACATAAAGTAACATTTATGTGTTGTATTTATTTCAAATAGAAGGGCCCAAGCCAATTACACGATTTGGTAGCAAACCCAAACAGAATAAATAAACGTTGATTAATTACATAGCATCAAAGCCAATATGTGGGACAAAGGTTAATATTAGGTAACATTGATCGAGTACTCCAAAAATTGCTAAATCACTTACTGACCGGATTTCGATGTGACATACTAGGTCACAGGTGAGGATTAAAAAACGTTCTGATAATACGTACACGGCTAAGTATAATACAGTTAAGTTGAAATGACTTAGTAATAACGTTAATTTTTAATAACTAGCCAAATTGAAATATCTTAAACATAACTACCCTATGAAGTCTAAATGAAATTGTCACTGATCTTATCATCATAGTATGAAATAATTACTGATAGAAATGCTAGAAAAAGTGTTAAGTAAATTAAGAAATTCTCAAATCATTAAATGATTGTACGACTATAGTTTTACCAATACATCGTACATAAAATTATTGACATGAATGCTAGAAAAAGTGTTAAATTAAGAAATTCTCAAATCATTAAATGATGGTGTGACTATATTTTTACTAATATGTAAATTAAAAATATTTTTGACGACGTAGAAAACTACCCAATAAGGTTTTTACAAGCAACCATTAACGAGACATAACACTGATGATGATGTGCCATTTAACCTGTAATCTTCCTCGAAATTCCACAACGAATTCATAATAACAGATAATGTTAGAGGACAGAAAAAATTGCAACATCTGACACGGAATTCTTAACCTCCAGAAATGGAAGCAGAGATAAACATCGAGATAAACAAAGAGGCTGTTTTTGCAGCACTATCTAATACGGTTGTGGATGACGTCTTCCCATTGAGCGAGCGTTGAATGCGCGGTATTCGCATGATTGCGCAAGCGCATCATTGCTTTCCCATCGCTACGACTAATATAACGAACGATCTCGGACTAGTGTGGGAAATTGAGATAGGCGTCAAGTCAAGAGTTTATACGTAATATCAAACTTTTGGACAACAATTTGAGATTGGACGTGGCACATCATGATTTGATTCATTGTTAAGTTTGAATGGTGCGAGCGTTTTATTTTTATGATTTGATAGTTTAAAACCATTTTTTATGTTTTTATGGGTTTTATTGTAATTGGAAATCTATTAATTTGCAATTTAGTTATTTACTTTCCCTTGACTCAAATAATGAAAAAATATACGGTGACACCAAAAAACTAAAAAATGTAAAATATAAAATTTTCACGAATCTACACTGTTGTCACCTCGAACCAGATTAAATAAGTGATTATCACTTAATTTTTAAAGCTTTGTCCAATCAAGGTTTCATGCAACGCAAAAAATTAATCAATCTAGGTTATTTAGCAATGAACAAGAAAAAAACTGCACTACTTAGGAACTTAACTTATAAAAATTAAATTCAAACTTTAATGTAACGTGGTAATAATTAAACATGGCGCTCAACAGTTGCCACAAAATAATTCCAATCATTTACACTTTGGTAATCTGCTATAATTTTCCTATTTAGAACAGTGGTACGGATTTTATGGCACACTGATTGTGGCTATTTACAACATTCTATTACTTGTAATTGAAATTAAGTGATGTTGTAAGTAAAATGATATAACTGGCAGTAACATTGCACACTTGATGAATACTTTATTGCCATAGCAATACATAATGATGTAAAAGTAATATAAGTCGAAGATGATAGTAAAGGGATTGCTGATGGGGCAATTAAATTTGAATGTGTCTTACACGCAACTGCTGTAATGCAAATTAGAGAAAGAGGATTAGTTATTTCCTAAACACGGTATTGCGAATGCTACTTGACCTTTGACGCTCTATAATATAATTATACCTTTGATATACTTAAGTATTTTTTTTTTGTTATAAGTAATAATTAGTTTAGCTTTTGTGGAAAATACATTTGTGGTCGAAGTGATTGTATCTTTACACAAATCTAGTTTCGCTGATTTCCGACTACATCCTGTAGTTGACTGGGAGAAAATGCCATATGGTTTTAAGTCCGCCTTGTGTACCTTAACCCATCATGGGTGCATTAAAGTATAAATATAGGTATAGCATGAGTATATTTCTAAAGAAGTTTTCTGCACATAAGGAAAAATATTAATAATTGGAATCATTGTTATTTCGCTATGACAACATCAATGATAAAATATAATTTAGACCAAATAATTCACCAGACATAATCAATTTTCCTAAGCTGCAGCGCAACAAACAGGAAAAAATATTAAAAAATACTTACTCAAGACATCTGTGCAAGAAGTGCAGGAAGGCTGGGTCATCGGACCTCACGATGGTGGTGAGTGCCCTGGTGCCAGGCCTCCGCTTGCGACCCTTGGAGTTAGTGATGCTGCGGGGGCAGCCTTTTGAGTCTGTGTGAAAACCAGAAAATGTAATAATGGATAAGGTTACTTCAAAACACAAATATTATTCACAACTACCATATTTTAACATTAGGGACGAAAGGGTTTTAATTATTCTCTTACAATATGACAGTAAAATAATAAGATGCAATAAATTTCATTTGGTGGAATACTTCATTGTAAATAAATAGAAATTGCTCAGTAACCTTCACGAACGAATATAATTTATTCATCTTACCAAAAAACAATCTCTTCCTGGTAGCGTGCAGCAGCAGATCTGGTGGAGGTGGTCCCAGCAGCTCCATGATGCAAGCCAGTTGTTCTGATTCATTTTCGCCCGGGAATAGAGGGTAGCCCGTGTGGAGTTCCGCTAGGATGCATCCTGGGGCCAATGTAGGTTTTGGTTAGAAATCATTCTCATTTTTTACCCCTTTTAAGAATAACAGAATATAATTAATTTTGAAATACCCAATAATACTTTGACCGGCCATTACTTTTTTTTAACGGAAAGTTAAGTGATGATCAAGTGTTGGTAGGCGGTGCCGTCGATCATAAGTTGCGTAAAGCCTGCATTCCTTAGTGTCGATATCTGCTGTGCGAATCATGGGGTCACCTTTCTCCCTCACTTTCTATAGCTAAGGATTGTGACGCGTACGCTCTTGTACGGTCAATGACAGTCAATGACAGCCCGGTTAGTGTTACAAAGTTGAATGGAATTTAATTATGGATTTTACGTAATAGATAATTTGATATTAAAAGTTTTTTTACCGATAGTTTGTTATGACTAGCAAGTTTTAAATGTTATAATGATACGGTAATTCTGAAAAATATGGGCAATATTTAAAGATTTGTGATTGTTTCATATTTCGTTTGAGTTTGGTAGTACAGCTAATTCTAGATTTTGATATAAATAATAAAAATAATGTTAATTAATTTCTTTACTACCAAAAATACTATGTGTAGCAATAGTGAACATTGATATCAACACAAGCCCAACTCAGGAAGCCACTGAAAAATTTTCTCCGACAAGCTCAAGAAACAAATACAAGACTGACTTTTAATTCCTAAAGTCACAGTAAAACTACCACAGACAAAGATAGTTATAAAATCGTGATCGAACCAACTTTTGTGTTCGATTATACGCAATAATTTAGTTCTGATTGTTTATGTTTATCATTATTATCAGGTCAAGTGCCGTTAGAATAATGGTCCAGTTAAGCAATATTAGGGCTAGAATAATATTTTGTAAGATAATACTAATCGCCACTTTCTCTGGATCTAGGTAGACGTTATTTAAGTTAATTTCCTTGAAATCTTTTGTAGAACTTTCGGCTGTAAAATGTTATTGGGTTTATATTTTACAAGCTTAAGAATTATTTGGTTTCGGCTCCAAGACTGCTATTTATGGCCTTGGGACCTGAGAATACAGTATTCGGTCGGAGGCATCGAGGCCCATCATTATTTTATATAAAGGCTTGTAAGAAGGCTTACATAATGTTTTAATTGACGTTTTTAATTAGTAAATATGTACCTACTACTTCATTAATTGGGACGAACAACAGTTATAGAGTAAAGGCCTTTTTTCATGTGATATTTCGGCAAACGAGCAGACGGATTACCTGATGGTAAGCTGAATGCTGAATGCGCCGCCCATGGACACCCGCAACAACAGAGCAGTTATGAGTGCGTTGTCAACCTTTTGGTGACCGGGGATTTGGAGATTTAGGGATTGGGGGAGGGGAAGGATTGGACCTCCAGTAACCCCACTCACACGGCGGTTTTCTATGAGGCCGTGGTATCACTCCGGTTGAGCCGACCCATTCGTGCCGAAGCATGGCTCTTCCACACTTATTAACGATAACGTCGTGAATATTTGAATTGTAACTATCGTGAGATATACTAAATTAATATTAAGTCGTTATTGACAATAACGACTTACTGACGTGAAGAGAAGTTCTATAGTTTTAAACCACAACGGGGCTTGAACCATATACTTTTTTCTTACACTAATTTCATCGCTTATTTATAAGCTAGAAGACGTTCACTGCTAAATTGACCTACACAATACAACGATTTCTAGATCGGCTGGTAATAGTGAAAAAGTAGTTATATTATACATACTACATATGTATACCTCTGTTAACCCACTGTTAATAACATCAAGGAACTTACGTACATACACATATTAAAAGCAAAATTTTCAGAATACAAACTCACCCATGCTCCACATATCGATAGGGGTCCCGTACTGCAGTCCCAGAATGACCTCAGGGCTCCTGTAGAACCTGGACTGTATGTAGGTGTAGACCCTCGCATGCGTGTAGCAGGAGCTCCCAAAGTCTATCACCTTGATTGAGGAACTACCTCTGGCTTTTAGCAAGATGTTTTCCTGAAAGATACAAATGGAAAAGTTTATTTTAAACATGGACAGGTTCTACCAAAATTACTATTACTGAAGATGACAGATATAACAGACCAGTTGAAGTAATATTAACAGATTAATATTTAAAGAAAAAATATACAAATAAATATATTGGAAAGCTTCTTTTTTTATTCATTTTAAGAAGAATTCATAAGAACTGAGAAGATGAATTGAACACGAATTCACTGAGAAAAGCTCTACTATTTTCAAGTCACTACGGGGCTCTTATTCATGATCAGCATGCGTGTCGTGAGATAACTCACGTGAGTTAGTCGCTATTAACAATATGTTTTTGCTGTTATACAAAATTGCATTTATAAGGAATTTTACTGCACATACACCAAAGAGATTTAAAAAAAAACTTGAAGACTATCTACTACCACATCATGAGCACGTGACGGCAAAAACCAAACATTGAAAAGCAACAAACAACGTCACCCTACATGACCTACCAATTAAACTGTTCAATGAGTGCGAGGTGTTTATCCTGATCTTAAAATAGAAGCATAGAGGGCAAAAACTCACTGGTTTGAGGTCACAGTGTATGATGTTTTCCCCTTCCAGTAACCTGAGGCATCGGAGTAGGGAGCTGGCAAATCTCCTGATGAGGCTCAGGCTGAACCCTTGGTAGTTGTTCTTCTTGATTAGCTCGTACAGGTTGATGCTGGAAATTTTAATAATTGGTTAGATTTTGACTATGAAGAGTTGAATGGTGGTGTTCGGAAGATACAGTAGTCGAGTCCAATACAGTTTGTTGGTTGATATAGTAGTCCATCTTCGAGAGTGTTTACAAACTTTTTAAGTTGACTATTGATAACTGTTTAACTCATAGAAACTACGGAATAGATTGGAATGGAACTTAGTATTTTTATGCAATATTTATTAACGTTTTTCTAAAAAGTAATATTTTTCAAGTAGTAGTTTAAAGAGATACAGAGAGGTATTAAAGAATATTACGAGAACTTTCTTAATTTATTTCCATGATTTTGAACTTGAAAGTTGGTTTTGAAAGCCATGCCATACACACTATTAATCTAATTACTACTATTAAAGATCTGCACGTTTTGAAAGAACATCTTCCTCGACAGATTTTGTTTAACTATATAAAAGTGCACTGTTTTTCACATAGGCGGTAATACTTGGCGCACTAAAACCCTGCATTCGAGAGATTTCAAAACTAGTTAGATTACTTCCAAGTGCAAATTTTAATTGTTTGTCCTACATGCAACTGTGTAATACCACATGCCACCCTCACCTCATAAGCTCAAAACTGATGCAAAGATGGTTTCTAAAGTAGAAGTAGTCCAGCATATGAATCACGTTGTGGGCTTGGTCCTTATCCTTCAATCGGAGATGATCCAGCACCCTCACTTCCACCAGCGCTTGATGATGGAACCTCTTCTTATTCCTGATGATCTTGATCGCGACCTGAGTACCTGTGCGATGATCTTGAGCCCTGATGACTTGCCCAAAGGAACCCTTGCCGATCACTTCCAAAATCTCATATCTGTAGGCTATGTGGTCGTGGATTTGCTGAAAATAGAGAAAGATTAAATAAGTATTGATTAGTCATGGTGGTCCAGAAATTAAGGCACCAGCTTCCCATGCATTAGGGTGTGAGTTCAGAACCTGGCATCAAAATCCGTAGCGTAGTTTTAAATATTAATGTTAGTTTTAAATAAAATATCTTTATTGAGTGGCGGTACCGCCGTTCGTGACGTGAGTCACTGCAGGGTGCCACCTGAAAATCAGCGTTGAGCATATTCGCTCAACTATATGCTGAGGTGGAGGCCCTTTTGGCATGGGCACATGAATATCATTGTTTTAACGTTTTATTTTCGTTTCTTTTTTCTTTTTTAATACTTTATATGTTATTCTTGTTTTGTTTATTATTTTATTATTGTATTTATAAATATATCTGTGTTCTTATTGTGTATTTTTATATACTTGTATTTGTGTGCCTATTTGTCGAATAAATGTGTTTTCTTTCTTTCTTTCTTTATTTCTCAACCATACACCTATAGGGATATAAGGACAGAGAAAGCGTCTTTGTTTCATACTATGTAGTGTAATATTTATTTTCTTTCTTCTTACCACCCTCTCCTTCTCTTTCGCCTTTCCTCAGATAAGGCTAAAATTCATCTTAAAGACTTTTTTTCGAACGGCTTCGGGCTTGATGACTGACGGACAAGATCAGATCAGACCAAGTGATCTTAGAGTCTCTGTTATTAAAGAACCTTATAATGGCTCCATGAATCAATCGAAGACATCACGATAATATTTAGTTACCTACTTCCCCTTTCATCATCAGCCTATAAGTGCCCACTGCTGAGCAAAGGCCTCTTCTCATACGGAGAAGGTTTGAGCATTAATCACCACGCTTGCTCAATGCGGGTTGGCGATTTCAAACTTACAATTAGAAATTATAAGTCCAGGTTTCCTCACGATGTTTACCTTCACCGTATGTCAGTGGTGTCTAAATAATCATAGAAAGTACATATAACTCGGAAAAAGTCACATTGGTACTTGCCAGGTTTCGAACCCACACCCTCATGCATGATAAGCGGGCTCCTTAACCTCCAGGCCACCACGACTATTTTTTTACTTCCCCTTTAATTGATCGTAATCTTGTATTGAAATTTTCCTAAAGCGGACATTACGACCAATTTCTTTGTTAACCGTCTGGCATCTGAATGGCAAGTTCTTGCTGTATTACGACTCAATATTGTCAAAGTAAATTGCTTATAATATTGGGAAGTTAATAGAAATCTTCGTCATTGTGTATTTTACTTTTAAACTTACATATTGTCATGTTTGGTTAACAAGGTAATTATGAAGTGTAAATAGCTTTTAGGAAAATTTATGACTGAATGTACTGGTATTTTTGTCTCCATTTATGAATAGATATTGTATTAATTATTTCCAAAAATATCAGGCCGATTAGTTCTGATGGTTCTCATGAGGTGTTTAGCATATTTTGCTCAAACTTAAATAACAATTCCTTTATTTTATAAGTGCTTGTGAAGTAGACCGGACACCACGCTACTTATGTTATAAAAATCAGATTTTCTTCGAAGTATATTTTCGTAAATAAATAATCTCGATTTAATTCAATGTCAGCTGTTTCTATATATATGCTTGTAAAATGCCGGTGTATTGCCTAAAATCATATATTATCATAAGATTTTCGATGAATAGTACCTAACTATCGTGGGACATGCTATATTATAAATAAGTAAGATAACTATGGAAAAATAGTAATATGATAAATAGCTATCTGAGAATCAGACTACTAGAACATTCTCATTTGAAATACCTACTTATCAAAACAATACACTATAAATAAATCAACAAACAAATAAATGAACTAATAAAACAAAGTAATCAAAACTCTCTAAAGAAACTGCTCCATTTTTCTGTGTATGTACATAGGTATGTATAATAAAGAGTACTTAAATGTCATTTAGTAAACTGAATGTTTGTTTTTGACCAAATTGCCCAATTAACTGCCTAAAAGCCAATTACGGATTCCATTAGTGATCAAGCGAAACTAATTTGATGGCGTTCACTTATACAGTTTAGAAATCTAACTATGGTTTTATGGTAATGTAATTAATTATGTGATAAGCAATATACATGACATAATAAGGTTCACATAACTCCTTGTCTAGTTATTTAATCGCCTTAGAGGTAGGCAGGCGCGTCAGCATTTCCAGGTTAGGGTTCCGGGTGCATGCGAAATAATGTACCCTGTAGGCCGGAGCAGGAGAAGCAAGGGGGTGGTTTTAAGTCAGTAAGAGTCAGCCCTTCTCTTCCTCCCTCAGTCACTCCTTCACGCATTACCGAGGGTGGGAGAAGTCATGTGAAAATTTTGTTCCTTCGAAAGAAGGGAAGCAAATTTATAATGTTGACTGCCCGGTCCAATTCAAAGTAAAAGTCAAATCAGTTATATCAATAGGCACTTTTGAACGTCAAACAAAAAACAAATAAGTATCAAAAAGTTTGTGTGTCAGTCTGTTGGTCTGCCCTCCAGTGAAGCTATTTGCTCATTCCAAAGTGTAGATTCCAATGGAGAAGAACGAGCAAGAAACTCCATGGTTACTCTTTTTCAATCAATTTCTAAATTCATTTTTATTACATCAATTCAGTCGGCTGGCGCTACTTCTGATTCATTATCATTGTACATTTTGAGCTTTCGAAATTCTAATCTAGCAGGTAGATAGAGTGACCATCCTTTATCTCTCCATCTTATCTTCAGGGAATAACAAGCGTGATCATTATAATAATAAATTTCCTGAGAGCTCGGAGTTAATGGACGGACAAAACATTTTTAATTATTTAGCTCTGGTGGCGTGGTTGGTCTGTACAATGTTGTAAAATTGGAGTAACAGAGTTAAGCTTAAATATTCTGATTTTTATTTACAAAGTCATGTTGGTCAGTCATTACTTGTATACCCTTATAATTTGGAAACAAAACATAAGATGAGAAATGTAAAATTGTAAAATAATTCACGTTCAAATTCGTAACAGAAAATGCCTACCAAACATGATTTTCATCCTTAAAGGGTTGTTTGTATGTACTTTAATTTTGAGGAAAGCAGTTAGATTAGGTATGTTTGGATTACTTAATTAAATGACATTTCGGTACCTAGCCTTTATCTAAGGTGATTTGTCACCAAACTAGCTTATCGTAACTAGCGGATCACCTGATGGTAAGTTTTCAGTGCCGTCCGATTTAAGGATTGTGGAATTTGTCCAAGAGTGTAAATATAAAACCTATTGAGTCGCGGGGAGTCATTGAATGCATGTGGCTAGATGTAGCTCTGGGTGAAGGAATAAAGAGATTGGTCAGCAATGATAATGAAATCGATAGAAAGAAAGAAGAAAGAAAGAAAAACCATTTATTACGCCACGACATATATAACAAGAATACAGGTACACACACACAAAAAGCCCATATAGTGCGTCGCAGCGCAAAAGGCTGGAGCTCAGCTTAATACTGTGGCCCGAGCACGAAGGCACGAGTCCACGGCGCTGATTTTCAGCACCAGCCCGTAGTAGTACGTACTAATTATCTAATACGGTAACGCTGTTCGGAGTACAAAATGATATAAATAATAAAATTAATACAAAAATGAAAATAAAATCAATAGAAACGTAAACGATAGGTACTCGTAAATATATCACTTATAAAACTCTCCGAAAAACCAACAAACGATGGATACTTAATAAAATCGTGTAATATGTAAATAAACACTTCACAAGTACACAGTAATGACGCGAAATTACAATATGAAAATATTTAAATGGCGGCTCGGGACAACATTTTCAGACGATAAAAGGAATTCCTTTATAATAAAATTCAATGCTCGGGTTTTGAACAATTAATTTCGTATAAAATTCGGATCTCGTTATTTCCATTACGTAAGGTTTAAGATCGCATTTAAAATTCCAATTGAATACTTTATTTTTTTGTTGGCCCTGATCCGTATTTTTCCGAACTTTTTTGTTAATTATTTGGTTTAAAAGGGTTTCGGTTTTTAATTAGCTTTCAATCCATTTAAATTCAGCTTGTAATTTTTGATATAATCCTTTGTTGAATGGATCATGGACTGTTGTTACCTTTTTTTAACCATTCACAAAGAGAATACGTCATAGACTTAGAACTGCTTTATTGTTGTGAATGTCAACTGATGGTGCTTATGCTTACCATCAGGGACTCATCTACTTCTACATGGATTCTCACCTTATTATAGCTGCCATTCTCGTCATCAAACCCGCAGTTGTTGGGTAGGTTGGCACGCGCCTGCACTTTGTTGGAGTCCAGCCCCAAGAACCACACTTCAGGATACTTCCTGACCTCGTTCCTCTCCCACTCTGATAACCTGTCTCCATACAACTTCAGGGCTTCTGTAATCAAAGAGAATATTTGTTTAGTAAAACATTGACATCGATGTTAAAAGTCCGAAGATGACGTCACAGGTTCTTTTTTGGTAGGGGAAATCATCAAATGACTTCTCCCGCCCAGGGTGAGGCGAGAGGGAGTGTCAGACTCTTACTGACTAAAAACCATTCAGTTCCTTCTCCTGCCTTAGGCCGAGGCCGCGGTGCCTAATTGCGCTTACCCCGCAACCACGGATACATAAGTAACACGGATAGAAAAATCCAACGTTCACAGGAATGTTCATCTGGCCTAGTCAGAGGAATACTCCCTTTTAAACAGGGGAGAGCCCTGTTTGAAGACTCGGCAAAGGAGTAAACGGTTTATCTGATGTTAAGCTATGGGCGTCACCCATAGGCACTTGATCTTAGGAAAATTTTGCTCAGCGTTTCTTAAAAATAATTTCTTTAACCTGGTTGGTCAAATCTTTGCATTTTTTGAAGCAAATCCTGTTACGTACAAAGCTGATGTTTGTATAAAATAGCCAATTGATCTCTGGAACTACTCAAATACCTCCTCCTATAAATAAAACTCTTCTGATAGGTAGTCTCCCTACGACTTCTTTTACGACATTAATTCGATAAAATGGAACGATATGTAATTTTATATTTCACATTGGTTATATAAAAATTATGTTATATTACATTGACAGTCTGCATTTCAGGTAATTGATTATATTAAAATGTTAGGTATTGAAATAAATAATTAAGTACCTATATTTGAATTAGAAACTAATCTAAAAAGTAGGACCACCTAATATGTTTACCTGTAGAGTGTAGATTAAGAATGGAAGAAACTCGTGACATAAATGACGAAGATTATTATTAATTCCCAAAGTAAGACTTGCAGACGAGATTTTCGGATAATTTTCTATGACCTTTATAGATAGACTGTACGTCATATTATCTCGTCGATAAATCCGAAGCCGACATATACCGGCCATACCGCAGGCTGGCAGTGACCTATATATCCTTTAATATCCAGAACATCCGTGTGGTGGTGACGTCATCATGTGTAATGACGCGGTGATACACGTGTTGCGAGAGTGTGTGAAAACATTAATGAAAGGTTACACGAAGCTTCGAAACTGATTTTTATTATTTAAGGAAAACTGTTTAATAAATAAGACTAAAAGAAAAAAAAAGGTTTACGTTCAAATGTAAAGTACTTTCTTGATTGCATAGTTGGCGCAGTGGGCTACCGGGTGTGTGTCACAGGTTCGATTTCCGCACAAAACAAAAACTCTTTGTGATCCACAAATTGTTTTTCCGTCTGAATCTGGGTGTCATGTGTTGGTATGTGAAATTCTGAGGTGAAATTTTATGTTTGTAAACGCAACTACGACACAGGAGAATATTTTATTTTTTTTAAACTGAAAAATATCTTAATAGGATTTTTATAGGATTCAATGTTTTAAAAGATAAAATCTTGAGAGCTAGAATTGTCTATCAGACAATTCAACTTGTTGCTAGATAAACAACATCTAGGTGAGCAAAAAAAAGATTTGCGTCCATTGGAGAATGTAACAGCAAGACTTACTCGTATCAGAAGAGGAAAGTATTAAAGTTGGAGAGTCCACCTATGCACTATATTCAACAACATGATACAATGGCCGTCCATCATTATCACACGTCACAGTCAGTAAGAGTACTAACCCAACTAGAATACGGACCTTCCCTAAGTTATATGGTCAACCAGGTTCGAGTTGAAGACTGAAACGATAAGGTTTGTAAGAGAAAACTTTCTACCGATGTATATATATGTATGTATGGTTGATTAAAAGGTAAAGGATCTTAGAAATGTAAGTAAAGTAATACGTTACTTTGAGGTCAAATAGCATCAGGTATGAGGACTGATATTGTGACTAAACTCATTCACAATATCAAAACCCCAAAAACAGCTCCACTTCTTTAGCCGTACTCACGATTACTCTACACCAACAAAATTTTCTCCATGGAATCTTTTTAAAATGGCAAAGGTCAACAAATACCACCAAATATAGTTTACTAGGAGTCACGTGTCCAGCTAAAGGGGAGCTGCACGTTGTCGTGACGTCATCAGCACGTGTTCCGTCGTTGCCTACATCGTCACGTGGACGGGATGAGGGTCTGTCTGAGGTTGAAAATTGAATCTTATTGCGATGTGACATTAGGCGATTTTAGAGGTTATTCGTGGTTGGTGTCTTAAGAGGAAATAAACTTTACTCGATGGTTTTGCAAATATTAAATGGCAAAACTTTTTCACAAGAAAAGCGACAAGTAATACCTATAGGGCTTTTTGAAATTTTAAAAATTGTCTTAAATATCAAGAAACTGGATCCACAATATATCACAATTCCTGTCGAAAGATGGTAGTACAGTCAGTAGTCAGGCTTTTTGAGGTTGGATAGTCATTAAATGACTTTTCCTGTCCTGAATGGAGCGACAGAGTCAGACTCTCTGTGACTGAAAATCGCCATGTTCGTTCTCCTGCTTCAGACATCAGGCCATGATACATTATTCTGCTTAAACCTACAGGTACATTCAGGGGTCAAAAATGCAATTACACTCTACCTAAAAAATTTTATTATAAATATTATAATAAATTAAAATGACTAAAATTTCTTTGTAGTAAAAGTTCAATGGTTCATAGCAGTCCTCAACCATTGACTTTATTCTAAAAAGATATTTTGGACATTTTCACATTCACTATACCTGGGTAGTACTAGTATCTCAGCTTCCCTTAATTAATTAATTATTATTGGTTACATAAGGTAAGATCGCCCGCTTCGTACGTATACGCTGGTAAGTACCAATGTTACTTTTTCTAAGCCATATGTACTTTCTAAGTTCATTAAGACACCACAGTAATGAAAAACATCGTGAGGTCATCTGGACTTAAAATTTCTAACTATAAGTTTGAAATCGCCAATTCACCTTGGGCAAGCTTAGTGATTAATGCCCAAACCTTCTACGTGTGAGAAGAGGTCTTTGCTCAGCAGCTGGCAATTATAGCTTGATTTTTTTTTATGTTATAAGTCGGCGAACGAGCTGACGGATTTCCTGATGGTAAGCTATCGGCGCCGCCCATGGACACCCGCAACGGAGGAGTTACGAGTGCGTTGCCGACCTTTTAGGGATTAGGGATTTGGAGATTTAGGAACAGGGCCTCCGGTAGCCGCACTCACACGACGAAACACAACATTGTGGTCACTCCGGTCGAGCCGACCCATTCGTGCCGAAGCTTGGCTCTCCCACACTTAATATTGATTAATGATGATAATGATATAATCATAATGTTTATTAGCACTTAGTAAGTTAATGGAGTGCCCTTATAATACCTACTTAACTGGTCACCATTATAAGCCATTAAGCCACTGCATTAATAGATGCAGTTGGCACCTTCTGATGCGGAACATAAGAACTGTTACTGGGTCAAGGTTCGACCTCTAGCTTGAAGAAAACGCTTACTGCTTTACGGTATTAAGTTCTGAAGTATTTTGCAGTAATACGTTCTGTGAAATAATGAAAACGGATTTATGTTTTTTTATAACTTTTTATCATTTTTAGCCGCTTGATGATGACGGAGTATCACCCATCTTCGAGCAGTTCCAGCTGGAGTCGTTAAAACTGACTAAGGAACTACAAATTTCTGATGAACCTGAATAGTGCTGATGGTACATAGTATAGGTTATGAAAAAAAATCAAATTAGTCCGCCAAATAGACAGACCGTTAAATGACCTTAAAACATAATCTTAATAAAGTATTTTGTTTATTTTGTCGTGTAAAAAAAACAATACTTAAACAAAACGAACCTATTTTTGATGAGTAGAATGATGCAGCTTCACTAATCAGTAAAAGATATACAGAGGCGTAACGTCACACGATATTTCAAATCAATGTCTTGTTAAAAGTATTTTTTCCCTACGAAAACTACGCATCTGCTTCTCTATAAAAATAAAAAAGAATCAGTATCCCCACACTTCCTTGCGAAAACAATTATCCAAACTAATATTTTAATGCGAAAGTAACTCCGTCTGTCTGTCTTTTCTTCACGCCTAAACTACTGAACCTATTTGTGTAAAATTTGGTACAGACATAATTTAAAACTTGAGAAAGGATATAGGATAGTTTTGAAATAAAAAATCAGCAGGAAGTCACTATTCCACGGAAACAAAGTCGGGGCACAAGCTAGTGTAGAAATAAAAAGGACAACGGACAGCACTTGTAAACGTCTTAAACCAAGGTACATACTCAGAATACAGAACAAACCAGAAGGCGTTATCGCGCTTAAAACAGAAGCAACTAAAACCACTCTTTACTATAGTAGTATGAAATTTCTACGATTAGTCAATTTTGGCACGTGGCATGTCGTGACGTATTTACGAGTATCAATTTTAATTTCATTATGCCGTCTTGTTTTATTACTACGAGTAAAAATGCGGCTGGAAATACGAAAAAAGTGGATAAGATTACATTTCATCTGCAAGCATCGACTGCAATAGTATATTTAATTAATTATTGAATTTTTTTAATCGATTTATTTTTCTATGAAAAATATGCGGCCATTTTGTGAGTGTTGTCATTTTTGGTGAAAACTTTACCCACTTATTTATTTTTTGTGGGTTATATTTCTGTCCATTATCTAACAAAAAAATTAAAAATCATACAAAAGGCACGGCTAGATTCATTTTGGAAACCATCTAGCCAGAGCATAGTTTGCTCAATTTACTTTGAAGAGATATATGTATTTATGACAAAGGTGGTTTGAACAGCATTTCCTACTAAGATATATCTATAGGTATACTAATTATAATGCTGAAGAGTTTGTTTGCTTGAATTCGCTAATCTCAGGAACTAAGTAAAGTAAATAGACTTCTAATCTTTAGTTCCGAGTCTAAAGACAATACATATTATAAAAAACTAAACCAGCAAAAGCTAAACCTTCGCACTTATTGAAGCTTTGTTTTATTTGTTGTGTATAGTAGGTGTAACTAAAATTAACATTAACATTTATAGTAAGTTTACGTATTATTGTTGGGTTTACCCAACAAAATATATCTTACCCTCCTGTTGTAAAATTACCCCAAACCAAGGGAATTGTTCCACTGTCGGCAACACTACGCGGGTGGGAAGTGCGGCTGGCGGGGGGATTGACGTATTGTTTTTGGACACATTTGACGACATGTAATTATGAGTGAACGCGGCTTCTGGTTTGTTCTGTATTCTGAGGGTACATATTATGTAGGTAATTAATCTAGTATATATAATATTAAGTAAAAATCAATACACAAGTGGCCAGCACGTTTGCATTGACCTCGGATGTAATTGGTCTACTTGAGCGCCACCTATCTGGCGGTTAGGGGCAAACTGCTCTCCTGTTTGTACATCCTTGAAATAGTTTACACTTAAGACCCTACGATAAACAGCCAGGTTTGGGGGCAATGCCGTGGCCTCGGCCTGGAGCAGGAGAAGGATCAGGGTGGTCTTTAGTAAGAATCTGACACTCCCTTTTCTCTTCTACGCGCTGAACGCAGACCCGGGAATATCCAGCAGGTACAGTCACCATACTCAAACGCACGGACAGCGGTGTACTCTCTGATCCACTTCATTAAGTGTATGGTAAGGTAAGTGTTATCATTCTGATCCCTAAAAATAAAATGAAATACCTACCTTTTAAAATAAATGAAATAAAACCGGCCAAGTGCGAGTCGGGCTCGCGCACAAAGGGTTCCGTAGCAGCAAATATAATAAACTTATTATGTCAATTTATACACCTGGTGAATGGAGCCTAAACTCTCCCGATATTTTGCCTTGTACTTTTATGTATGAATATTAATAATAAGCTAATATTTCTCGTAAAAAGTACCTACATTATAAAGATTTTATATCATCGCGGATTTTTAAAGGTGTACAATACTGTAGTATATTTTTTGATCTATCTTATAAGGTTCAGCCATCGTTTTCAGTGTAAGCACAATAACTTAACCAAAATTACAGTTAAATCAACCTATCTCAAAAACTATAAGAGATAATTTGATCAAACCAAAAATCGTTGAAAGAGTTAATTAGCATGCATCACCTCTATTTTTTTTAGAATTTTATACCCCGTAGTTATAAAAATAGAGGGGGGGGGACATACTTTTTACGACTTTGAGAGCTGATATCTCAAAAACCGTTCACTTTAAGAAAAATGTTTTTTAGAAAACTTTATATCATTTTAAAAGACCTTTCCATTGATACCCCACACGGGTATGTACATCGAAAAAAAAATTTTCATCCCTCAGTTACATGTATGGGGGGCCCCACCCCCAATTCTTTTTTTTACTATTTAGTGTCATAATTTTGTAGCGGTTCATACAACACATATTCCCATCAAATTTCATCACTGTAGTACTTATAGTTTCCGAGTAAATCGGCTGTGACAGACGGACAGACGGACAGACGGACAGACGGACAGACGGACATGACGAAACTATAAGGGTTCCGTTTTTGCCATTTTGGCTACGGAACCCTAAAAACGGAATAAAATAAAAAACCGAATAGAATGTGCCACTCAATAAAAAGAAAAACATTTTTCAACAAAAAAAAAACCATTAATTGAAAATTGGTATTATTTACTCAATTTTAACAGTATTTACTCAGGCGTATTTTTAAAGCTTTACAAAGTGCTCTATTTTATAGGTAGGTATTACGATACTGGTAACATTTGTAAATTGATGGCAACATTTTCCTGTAAAACATTCAGAGGCACGTTCTGAATTCTATTTTATTGACTGCTAACATTTGCATGGAGCGAGGCATTTGGGTTCCTCACAGATTCATTTTCAGGCCACGTTTTAGTGTTTTAAAATGCCTACTATCCTAGGTAAATAGATTAGGTATTGCTTTCCCAAACACTCGCGTTGTAAAGGGGGGAAAATCATCAAATGACTACAGATAGGTACAGATAGAAAAGTTTTTAAAGAAAATCATTTCATAGCTCTTGTTCCTGTCCTTTATGAGACATAAGGGCGTGTCAGACTCTTTTTGTCTAGAAATCTATTATAAAGAGGTAAAATTTGTAAGTTTGTAGGTAGGGGGTAATCTTTGGAACCGATTGTCGGATTTCCAAAATTCTTTCACTGATAGATAGCTACAATCAAATGGAGTGTTCCTGAGTGTTTCTGAGTTCCTGGGTGCTAGAGGCTATGAAACATCACGCTACAATCAAATGGAGCCGAGCAGCGGTTGAAACCGCGCGACAGAAGCTAGTCAGAGATATCAATCCTTCCCCTAACGCCTTTTTTGTCTAATCTCTTAAAATTGCAAAATTCTAATCCCCAAAAAGCCGACAACGCACTCACATTTGCTTACCATCAGATAACCAGCCTAACCATTGTCCTAAAAAAAATTGTACTTACTTCAACCTCTACACAGTTATAGGAATACAATTGGTGTGATGTTGGGTAATGGAAGGTAATGTGTTTCACAACCTATATTCCCAAAATGCTATAAGGTACCTCCTCGCAGTTATCCACGCTACATAAATCTGTGTTATGAACCCATTTAGCGGCGCGCGGTCCGTGACCATATCAAGTATTCGCACTAGTTAAGTGGGTAACATAACGTTTATATTAATGTTAGAATAGCGAGAAACAACATGCAGGTATTTCTCTTTTTTTTTTTGTTGTCAGTTTTTTTTTATGTAATGTAATAGGTCGGCAAACGAGCAGACGGATTACCTGATGGTAAGCAATCAGCGCCGCCCATGGACACCCGCAACGGAGGAGTTACGAGTGCGTTGCCGACCTTTTAGGGATTAGGGATTTGGAGATTTAGGAACTGGGGAGGGATTAGGGAAGGGGAAGGATTGGGCCTCAGGTAACCTCACTCACACAGCGAAACACAACACTGTGTTGTTGTTTCACGCCGGTTTTCTGTGAAGTGTCAGTTTCAAGTAAGTAAATATTTTGTAGTAGGTAGGTAATATCAAATAAATGTATGATCATTAATTAATGTCTACGTAATATACATGACAACAGGGTATAAAATCAAAAATCTAATTGATCCGTCATTTTATTATTAAAATATATAAGACAATTTTTATCGTATACTTGCGACCTGCCCCGGCTTCGTACGGGTGCAATGCTGATACTAAATTTCTAATGGATGTTATTATACATATAAAACTTCTTCTACAATCAATCTATCTATTAAAAAAACGTATCAAAACCCATTGCGTTATTTTAAAGATTAAAGCATACATAGGGATAATAAGGACAGAGAAAGCGACTATGTAGTGATAAAATTGTTTAAAACTTTGATACAGACACAGCATTCCACAGGAACCTTTTATTATAATGGAGACAGGAATCTCTTCCAGTCCATTAATTCAAGTTTTAATGTCAATGTCTATGTTGTCTGAAGCATACTTACCTACGTTTCATATGTGAACAACACTTCATTAGGAATTTACTTTACTTTTAGCTCTTTGTATCATTTTAGCCTTCGCAACAGTCTTGGTAAAGACTTCGTTTTCATAAAGAGGTAGACATATGCATGTATATCGGAGGGCTTACGGATTTCAAACCTTTTTTTATGAATAGGGCGGAGAACCAGAGGTCATCTGAAGGTAAGCATTTGGGGCCGCCAACGCACATCCGCAATAACAAAAACGTAGGGGAAAGGATGAGGGGTGAAATGGGCCTCCACTAATCACACACATGCGGAGAAACACTGCTCAAAATTTAGACTATCCAGAACCTTACAGGCAGTTTTAAACGTAGAACAAAACATAAAGATAAAATTTGTTTATATTTGCTCGTTCTAAAGTCTAGATTCCGATGAAGAAGAGCGAGCAAGAACTTCCATAGTTATTATTTTTCAATCAGTTTCACATACAGATTACTTTTTACCAATCGTCGCTACTTCGAATTCCTCTTTCCTTCATATCCGCTATCGCAACTTAACAAAACCGCATCCTAAACAGACGATGATTAATATCTCGTGCGCTCACGCGCTTGTCATATCTTCATAACATTGGAAATCTTGATACTTGAACAATAATTCACTTTGGCCGAGTTTGTCAGCTCAAAACTTCGACTTAATGTACCGTTTTGTCGGTAGAAGTGAAGTGATTTTGGCTTGTCATGTCACGCGTGGGGCTTATAGGGTCTTTGTGAAGATTGTATCGTATATCATAATAGGATATTGGTACTTATGTATTATTTAAGAGCGTTAACGCGGTTTCCATAGCGAATAACTCGGAAAAAGTCACATCGGTACTTGACATCCCATCTGAAACGACTGAACCAATTTGAATGAAAAGAGATACTCATTCGAAATATTATAAAGCTCAAAACACTTTATTAAAGGATTTTTCGAAATATTATCCAAGTGAGCAGTTATATGCAATTATAAATTTAAATCAAAAATCAAAATTACCAGTCTCTCTCTTTTTAGACTCTTTATTTCTTAAATGTAGGTACCATTTTATAGAATTACCCAAAAATTGTTGACTTCAAAATTTGTACACGGTGAAAGAAAACATCATAAGGAAACCTAGATTATAAGTTTGAAATCACCAATCAGCGTTGAGCAAGTGTAGTGATTAATGCTCAAACCTTCTCCGTGTGAGAAGAGGCATTTCCTCCGTCATGTGATGAAAACTTGAGCCACGTAAACACCCTCAAGTTACTATAGAAACTTGGCGAAGATTCGTAAGAATCTTATAATTAATTCTCCAACTAATGGGTAAGGTACGCCTGACTTGTGTGTTTGATATTCTTAGGCATGTAATACGTAGAATATTTTAGGCACTTGGTAAATACCGAACTGTCTAAGTAACTGCTTCAACTTGAGTTCGGTAGCGCTTTAGTCTAAATACTTCTAACTAAGTAAGCTAACACAACATGATTCAACAAAAACTGCAAAGAAACATAACCAATGTTTCCCTTTAATTTAAAAATCGCTTTCCAATGAAACGTATCGAGTTTGCAGTAGCAAATTATCCGTCGATATATTGTAATCAAATATGGCGGACTGGTGCCCAGGGGAACTCTGTGTACATGTAATCACCACGCTCGAATGGATGAATGTTGACCGCGATATGATTGGATCTAATACCAATCGAACCTATATAAATACACGTGTGATAAGTATTTTGTAGGCTACGCAGTTCTTTGTTAGTTGTCGGCAAACGAGCAGACGGATTACCTGATGGTAAGCAATCGGACACCCGCAACGGAGGAGTTATGAGTGCGTTGCCGACCTTTTAGGGATTAGGGATTTGGAGATTTAGGGATTGGGGAGGGATTGGGCCTCCGGTAACCTTACTCACACGGCGAAACACAACGCTGTGGTTGTTTCATGCCGGTTTTCTGTGAGGCCGTGGTATCACTCCGGTTGAGCCGACCCATTCGGGCCGAAGCATGGCTCTCGCACACTTTTTAAATGTAAGAGTGGATTAGCCGGCACGACCTATGTACCTAATACTACGTAGATTACAGATGTGACATTTCGCCGTGTGATTCAATGAGTGAGCGCCATGCTATCTTCCACATCTCCACGTCCTTAAAAACCCTTTAGAAAACAGGCAACGCACATGTATAATTTCATAATTATATCCTTCATTTATGGCTGTAAAATGCCCGTTTATTAACGTACGTAATAAGCTTATTGTCAAACATTGCAGAAAAACTTGGTTAAAAATGTACCTTTTTAAAATGGTTAACCTATAAACAGGATACATTTGATCTTTTGCGTCGAAACAGCCAAAACTGCTAAACTGGCTATACATATGCATATTTATTTGTTAAATTCAACGAAAGTCTATAAGTAGGTACGTTACATTGACGACGCCCTAAAAGAATATAGGTACTACTGATATTTCATTTTAAATACGAGTATACATATATTCGTTTTGGGAATCAGTTAAAAACCTCTCTAGTCTCAAACGCCAACATTACCGAGAATCACATCTCAAAGGAAAACGGTCCAATGAATACTCAAAGATTTATTCAAGTGTAAGTTTTTTCGAGTATCTATGTATTATTAGTATACTTATGTATTTTAGGGATCGTCTATTGTGAATTACTTTCCTTATTTCCATAGCCGCAATCTAGGCTTCATTTAAAAACGAACAATGGTGCTTTGTGGCTACTTATACTAATAGCCTCTCTTGAGCACTTGTTCTGAGAAATGTTTATTAAAATATAGCCAGTATCTCTTATTGTTAGAACGGCCAGCTTTTTATCTATAAGTATATAAGCTGCTTCGTTGGTCAAGTGGTCGTTAGTCTTCATTATATTATCAAGCTGACGAAAATGAGCGCTTGATTCGTTGATCGAATAAATATGTAGAAACTCTGAACCTAACAGTTGACAATCTGAAATTATTTGGAACATAACGGGGACAGTTTCAAAATTCGAATAAATTGCAAAAAAAACATCATCCAGTAGGCATCCAGGCGGCTACTCGTATAGAAAGCAGGTTGAAATAAGAAAACAGTTTCTGCCTGACTCTTTAATGATGATTATTATTAATAATAAATTTAATGAGGATTATTATATTATCTAAATACAAGCACCAGAAGAATAATTAAAAAGACAAAAGTAATAAAAATAATGAACAAAGTTTAAAACTAAAATTATTCGATGAAAGCATTTAGCAGTTGTGAATAGCTGTAGAGAATTAAAGATGGCGTCAGCTGTTAGTTTCCCGCGCAAATTGTGACACTTGACAGTCTGTGGAACAGATGGAACACTACTGCTTCTCGGCGACAGTCTTATAACCGTCAGGGGAATTAATGGCTTCTTGTGCAGACAGAGACTTGTTACAAACTTAGGATGCACTTAAAATTATTTCGATGTATTAAATAGTATCTATACCCATTTTGTAAGCTGCATACTTATGGTAATATAAAATTATACAGGTTATGTTATTTTAATCGTATAATAATACTTACGTAAAGTAGGATTTAAAAAATGTCATCAAAAGCAAAAAAGTCCAAAAGTGAAAATCTATTTCAATTAGAACCTTACAGGGTTAAAGGGTTAAAGTCATACAAAGGTTATAGATAAAACTGTCAGTTTGTCGGTCAGTCCTCAATCACTCTATAATATCAGTACAACTATTTGCTCGCTCCAAAGTGTAAATTCCAACGGAGAAGAATGAGCAAGAAACTCCATCAACATTTAAAAAAAAACAATCAGTATGGAATTCTTACTTTGACGTGGTGACTAAGTATCCAGCTATCGTGCAACATGATGCGGGTTAGATTCCTGCACGGAGCAACCCTTTGTGTGATTTACAATTTACCGTCCCGAATCTGGATGTGATATGTATCTTTCTAAATCCATCCACGATACAGCAGAAAATCTAAGTGTGGGGCTCTAAGAGAAAAAAAAGAAAAACAATATTGCCTACGTCAACACACAAGTAGGTACCAATTAAATATACTTAATTAAATATGATTTACAAATCGTTCTTCGTCGTAACCCGCAAAGCACTTCATTAGAGTAAAATTATGAAAACTAACAGAAACTGTACCGCAAACTCGTAACAGCTATTAGGCATAACTGAAAACTTCAAGGGGACAAGTTTGCCCATAACCTCTGAACTCCACTAATTCAATAGTTTCACTGAGTGAAACCACTCTCTAACATCTCTCTTCATTAAGGCTGGGTAACGTAGGACTAGTGAAACGAAACTAAACTCAATTTACCTTAAAAATTGTATCAAAGCTTTTAACTGGGATTTCGTTCAGTTGCTCTTTGAAAACAGTACTGTCATTTAGGGCTGATTTTTCAATGGTTAGATAAAAGCGTTATCTGCGGAATAATTATCATGCTGTCGCGTCAGAATGTGTGTTTGAGACAGTGACAGCAACAATTTTATTCCTCAGATAACGTTTATCTGACTGTTGAAAAATCAGTCTTTAATAGCACATCAAGTTATCATAAGATTACTTAAACCTTTTATCAAAGGAAAAATGTCTAACTTTTGTTTCTTGCAGCATGCGATATGCGGTACCGCCCTCCCGTCTACAAACAAATCCACACATAGCAGAGGTGCCATAAAAACTACACACCATACGCAATTGAACCACGAAATCACACTCAACACATGTTGCTCAAGAGATATTGACTTGCTGATGACTGCATCTTGGAGGCCAGAACTCGTGCAACTGCATACCATTTTTGGAGAGGGAATAATCATTCCCAATGACATAAGTGTGGGACTTGAGGAGTATCAGATTCTTAATGACTAAAAACCAACCCACTCCGTTTACGTTGCCACGGTACGTTATTGCGCTTAAACCCGTAACCCCGGCTGGATAGCTACCACATGCTGCAGAATCATCTACTTCGTAAAGGAATTCAAACATTTTTCTAGTAGTATGTACTTACATAATAAGGTGAGTACGGATTTTCGCAAAGAAATACCTGATTTTGTTCTCAAGACATTATTTATTTCAAAGTAATAAAGTTGAAAATAAACATCAAGCCAAGTTGATAGTTTTTAATAGACTACAGTGAAGCTCTTTACCATCTCAGAAGTAAAATGTTAAGGTACACAATAATGGCAAGTTCTATATTAAAGGCGTAACCTAATATAGGATAAGACTATTACCTTTATATTACATAAAACAATGAAAACAAGAATATTTGCTCAAGTTACGACTACTTATCAAATAAAACAGCGCCTACGCAAATCCTTAGAGCAAAGTGCGTTCTAGCTCGAATCTATTACACAACTCCACATAATACCTTCGAACTTAGAATAGAAAAAAAAACTGAAAAAAGTATACCAATAATATTTTTCGAGAACGAAGTTTTAAGAATTTTAACTAGAAAGAGGTATTTTTATTTTATGAATGCTAAAACTTTTTGGAGTTCAAAAAGATCTGCCTAGATACCTTCTTAAATATTTTTAAGAATTCGTTTAATATTTTACTCCTTTTATTACTGTTTTCGGTCTTATTTTTAGATAGGATTTTTATTATATAACGCCAGTTATAGACTCTGACCTGTCTGTTATTTTTTCCACGAAAATTGTTCTTTTGTATCGAGGATATTAAATATCCTAAAGAGTTATGAGTCGCTTCTACGATATTTTAATGAAATTTTATAATGAATGACAGGGAGTTTAAAATAATTTGTGGATCTCACAAAGCGTTGTTCCGTAAGGGAATCGAACGACACGTTGAACACTAGCCATAGTGGCAGGGCTGTTGTGCAACGGGCCCACCATACAGTCAAGACAGTCAATGTATGTATGTATACAAAAAACTAGTAGAATAAGGTCGGACGAAAAACGAAAGCAAAATCATAACACGTGTACCCAATACTGGCTTCTATTCCAAAAAGATTTAAAGGGTCACATTATCGGCAAAATTCACAATGGCAGCTTAAATAAATCTCAAAATTTGGCAGCCAATTCTATCTACTTCGCCCCCAAACACCAGAAATAGGCAGACAGAATGCGCCAAATCACTTCGGCCATTGACACAGCTGCGATTCACTTGTGTCCGATCCAATTCGCTTAAAGGCACGGTAGGTAGAGCTTCCATTGTGTGAAACCTTTAGTGTTATTAAATCGCTTTTTGTTAAGCGTTCCAGCGCTGCAGCGGCTTTTTGTTAAGCACTATCGCGAATGTGCAAGTGATTCTGAACCACTGAACGTTTATTCCGAGTTAAATTTATTATTCATTATAAAGAGGACAAATTATAGTGCTGTAGCTCTCCGGACGAGAATAGAATATTACTGATCTTATTCAAGATCAGAAACAGAATATATGTGATCGAGTTGTTTGGTTGGTCTAAAATCGTTTCATAGAAATTTGCAATTAGGAAATTGCCAATATGCAGGAATTTGTCAGGTTCTAATTATAGAATCGCAAATATGGTCGGACGCGTTTTGAAATTGGGTAGTTGAAGAGGGTAGAATTGGGTAATAACATAAGTTTCGCTAGCTATTGGAATAAGATTAATTGTTAAAATATAATCATATTTTCATTCATGGATTTTTGTGTTATGAAATCGCAACAAGTGATAAAACTATTTCTTAGTTTTATCACTTGTTGCGATTTCATAAAAAAATATCAATTTCGTCATTTTAATTTTAGTAGGTACGTTTTTGTCTTTATTAGTTGGAAAATACGGGATAATAACAGAGTTATACTTGTTTATAGGCTAGGCACCTTCTTCTCTACGACATATTAATATACATATATAAAGAAAACACTTGAAATAACCTAAAAAAAAATATTGGCTACTGTATGGGAACTTCTAATCAACCCTTTGCCAAAACAGACAAGACAAAAACAAAATACCTTTTACAGAGCCCCAGAAAAGAAAACCCATTTTTCCAAAATCTTGCTAGATTTGAATTAAGAACGAAAGCGTCCATTTTGAAA